ATGCGCCGGGGGGAGATGTCAGGCGCTGCTCCACCTTCCAAACAGTCACACATCAAACAGTGTCACCCCGCCGGAGCGCCACTTGCTGCCCCGCGCTCTCCGCGGGGCTTCGCCGCCAGGGTCGCCGTTTCTTCCTCTGCGAAATCTAATGCAAACACATTTTGATCATGGATTTTTGGCCGGTCTTGATCTTGCGACAGGAAAAATTTTGAAAAATACACAAAAAGCACCCCCCCCCCAAAAAAAAAGCCAACAACAACAACCCGGAGAGTGTGTGCAGAGGGGCGAAGAGCGGACATTCACTGGGTGGGCGAGAGGAGCGTGGACCGTCCCCCCCCAAACTCCTGGGAGAGAGGGAGATGCACTCTCGCTCCCTTCTCTTTTCAGTGAAATATAACACACATTCGGATCGCAGAGCTTTCAGACAGTCTCAACTGATAGACAGACACATCGAGCTGCTTTTCCTGCTTCGGCTTTTACTCCTCCTCCTCTCGCCAACGTCACCCTGACAATTACAAATAGGTCTCTCACAAACCATACCTGTCAATCTTTTTAATTGCTTTGTTTTCTTTTTTTTTTCTTTCCGAAGCTAAACAATATGACACAAAAAAGAAATCTTAATACAGCATAACATAAACGATTGCACATTGGAGCAAGACATTGAGGGGTTTGTTACTATAATCCAGGGGCTGATACCGGGTAAAACCCATGTGTTATAAGCCAAGTTAAGTAGACACTAGTTTCTGCAGATCTTTAAACCTCTAAGTCACCCCCCACCCCCTTGAACATTCATACACACGCACCCACGTGGAACACAAACTAGCCTTGGATGAGAACATCCGACATTTGAGATAAAAATACCTGGGTCACTTTTGCAGTCTTGGTTTGGGGGTTAGGTTTGATTGGGGAGGGGCACTGTGTGGCTTTTTTAATTTTGGTAATCCTAGGTAAGTGTAAAACAAGACGGTTTTTTAAAATTAAAATGGATACCTTCAATAAACATTTTAAAATGGGCTCAGCTCATCATACAAAGATGTGGAAAATATTTAATCTGGCCCTTCTATGAAAAGTGAATTGATTACTTGGTCAATATAGACAATTAGGGAGAAAACTGACATGAAGGAACGGCAGGCAGATCTTTCTAGCTGGGTTGATAAAATGAGGGCTTCACACATAATTGCAATGTCTCCAGTTCAATTAAGTCCTTCGGCATCCCCACCTAGAAGTTTAAATGCTCATGTGCTCTGAGAATCTGGCCCTCTATTCTCCGATATATGTGTTCTTTCCCAGTGGGAACCCTGTAACAGTCTTGTAGAGGCTACTTAAAACATTCATGGAAACACACGATATCTAGGCCAAAACACATAAAATGGCTTGGTTCGTGCAACTTGCTTGGGACGGACAAGCTGAGGGCGGAAGGCGCGGGCCAGGCGTTCGGGAATGGGGGGCCGGGAGTCCGGGGCGCACGGGGCTCTGGGCGCCCCCGCCCCGCGTTCGGTGCTTGTGCGCGTGCACTGGCGGCGGGGGCTCCCCGCGCGGCTCGGGGCCCCCGGCCGTGCCCCGCCGCCCCGGCCGCGCTCGGGGTTGATTCGTACCACCTTGCAAGGAAGTGAACGCTTCGCACGGGAAGGGGAGGCGCCTGTGCCGGCCGCCGGGCGCCGGGCGCCGCGCCGCTCCGAGGACGCCCGGGCTGCCGCCGGCTCGGGGCCGCGGCGCTCGCGGGACGCGCGGCTCCCCTCGCCGCCCCCTCACCCTTTTAGAAGAGTCAAATCCGGCCTTTAGAGCGAGGGGAGGGTGGGGATATCCGGTGCCTCCCGGACGCCGGGAGGAAGGGGGAGGGCGGAGAGGATCCTCGGCCAGTCTGCGCCGAGCGGATTCAAACCAAAACAAAAAGATTAAAGGAGCAGCGGCCGGGGTGGCAGCGATCCCCAGGCCGGGACCCGGGGGTGGCGCGTCCGGGAACCGCGGGGGCTGCGCGGACTGCCGGGCGGCGCGCGGCGGGGGGAGGGGGGAGCGGAGCCAGTCCCTGCGGGGAAGGGGGGGAGTTGAGGGGAGCACGCGGCCGGAGGAGGGGCGGACCCGCCTGATGCGCCCGCCCGCTGGCAGCCGAGCCGAGCCGAGCCGAGCGGCCCGGGCTGGGCTCGACCCCAGCCCGCGGCGGCGCAGAAAGCGGGCAGAGGCGCGGGCCATGCTGCGCCTGGCGCCCGCCGGGGCCCGAGCCATCGTGGACATGTCGTACGCCCGCCACTTCCTGGACTTCCAGGGCTCCGACATCCCCCGCGCCATGCAGAAGCTGGTGGCGACCCAGCTGAGCCCCAGCTTCCGCGAGGCCGTCACCCTGCGCCGGGACTGCCCGGTGCCACTCCCCGGGGACGGAGACCTCCTCGTCCGGAACCGGTGAGTCCGGCGCGCGCCCCCCCCCCTCCCCGGCCCTGACCGGGCCCCGGCCCGCGCTGCGCCGCTTCCCGGCTGTCCCGGGCCCCCTGCGTCCCCGCACTCCGGCGAGCGCTCGGGCGCCCAGCCTGACTTTGCGAGGCCCCGGCAAGTTGAACCCGCCGCCATCTGGCGAAGGCGAATGTACTGCGACGGTTGCTGGTGTGAATATCCGATGCCACCGAACGTCCTCGTAACTGAGGGTTATTTTAATTTGGGATTCCCCTCCCCTCCCCCAGCCCTCCCCCCACCCCCTCCCGCTCCCGAAATAAAACCGACGGGACCCAGAAGGGGAGGCTCCCCGCCCGGCCCACCCGCGCGCACCCACGACTCCTGCGTTCCCATAATCTTTAGTGTGAACCAGGAACGGGCTGGACACGAACTGCGACGTTTGGGTAACGTGCTTTGGAGGAAAGAGGCCGAGGTCCCGGCTGGCTTTTCCTGTGCGCTCCAGGTTGGCAGCCGCCTCGCAATGGCGGAGCCTGTCGTTGGGTGTGTTGGTGTGCACCTCGCCGGTGTCGTCTGCGTGTTGTCAGTGCTGTATGGCTGTTGTCTGTGCCCCAGAGCCTACCGACAGGCGCGTGGCGCGTCCGGGGCGGCTGGGTCAGGGCCGGGGTGGTGGCACGGCCGCATTTCCCTGCGCGTTTTGCAGACCTTTGGGTGGCACTCGGGTGGGTTGCCCTACCTTATGACCGTCTCCTCCACCTCCACACTCCCTACCTTAATGTGTTTACAGCTCACTAATCTTCAGTAACTGGTGCAGCGCGGGAAGGAAAGGGACCTCATTCTGTGGGAGCCATGCCCTCTGGTCTCTGTTCGCTGGGTCCCCTAGCTGCCTGACTTGCAGGCTGGGCGTTCCCCATTCCTCGATCCCCTATGTTAGAGCAGGACTCGCCCGCCTGCTCAGGGGCATCCGAGGGGTTACAGTGTTGCATGTCTCCTCCGATTGAAGGAAGGCGTGAGTTCTGAGTGTAACTATATTGTAAATTGTTTCTTGGAAAGTACTGTAAGTCCCCTGCAAGGCGTGAAAGGCAAAGTGTACCCTACCCAAGTGGCTTGATGCAGCGTTTGATCCGTTTATTTTAGAGATTCGTATCAGCCTTCCAAAGACTGCAAAATTGAGTAATTCTGGTCATGATATAAAACTTTTGGAAACCTGCTGGAAACATAAATTTGAGGGAGCCAAGAGTGGGGCTGAGTGGAAGCTGGCTCCGGGCGGGGTGCAGAGAGTGCCTTAAAGGTGGATGTGTGTGTCCTAAAAGTTTTCGTGGGTGGAAACAGGGCTGCAGAGGATTTCTTCATTATGGGATAAAGCGCTAAAGCTGTTGAGATAAGGACTTGCATCCTACCAAGTTAAAAAGAAGGAACACGCAGAACATACAAGTCACACGAGTGATTTGCTAGAAGTTGAGATGAGAAGCAGGCTGAAAAGCTCAGACTTTAACAAGCAAAAAGTTTTACACGGGCTGTTTTCTTTTCTTGTAATGTTGGTGACCAAATACACTACTGACTGTGAGCACTGATGTAAAAACACCACTGCTTGAATAAAATCCCCTTTAGATACCGGGTGTGAAGTGGGGAGGGGGTGACTGAGCAGAGCAGGCAGAAGAAGGTGTGAAGTTAGAGCACAACCAGCTGCGGTTTAGTGGGGCCACCCGCCAGCTCTCCGTGGAGGCTGCTCCCTCCCGCTCCCCGGGCCAGCCGGCATCTCTACCTGTGAAGTGCATCAAGTCCTCAGGTTGTCCTCCCTTCCTCTGGCTCCTCTCCCCCGCTTGCTCACCATCACCCCTCGCCTTCTTCCCTGCCAGTGCCCAGGCGCCCCCTGCGCCGGGTCACCAGGGAGGGTCCCTGAATTGGGTGGTCAGGATTCTGGAGCGCCAGCTCTCCTATGTTTGGAGCTCATCGGTTTGGATTGCTTTGGGATCCATGCCTGTCTTTTCCCTCCACATATGCCAAGAGTCCCTTTAACACAAACAGTATGCTTATGTGTACGACTTGACCTCTAACTTCTACATTGAAGCCCGCATCAGAAAGAGAATGGAACCAGTTTTCTGCACATTGAGAGGAAATGAAATCTTTGCATCCCCTTTCCCTACTCTGTAGAAAATCTGCTCCTATCCCCAAATTGTAAGGCGATCCTTTATATTTGGCAAATAGTGTCAGGGGAAGAGGCTTTTTTTTTTTAAGAGCAAACTGCAGGTCTGTTTACTGCAGGTTAGTTCATTTTAAGCCTAGACCAAATCTCCTCCAGAACAGTGTTAATTGCATAAAAATTTTATGCAGGCGCTTTTCATTTTTATCGTAATAAAAATCTGCTCTGGAATGAATGGCATAAGCATACATTCACTTGTTCGGAAAGGTGTTTGGGGATTTTAACTGTGCACTGCCTGACTTTTCCTTTCAGTTGGATATTTGCACATCTCATCCCATCTCAACAGAAAATACAAATTCTTCATTCACAGAGAGGGAAGTGCTTTAAGCCCGACGTGGATTTAGGATAATCAAGTTTATCCCATTTAGGAAAAGTGTGAGAGGGGCGCTTAAAATCCCCGCAGAACGTGTAATTGATGTTCCTTTACCCACTTCTCACTTTTCATACGTCCGAGGACAACTTCACATCCCCTCCCAATGCCCAGCCCTCAGGAAGAGAAGGAAGAAAGACACCCTCCAGTTAAGCCAGCTTGCGTGCTATTTTTAGCTTTTTTTCCGAAGGATAGTGACATATTATTTCGTTCCCAAATCTTTCTAACGATTTTCTGCTCAAGTGTAAGATAATGGAGCAAAGAGTTTGCAGGAATGGCAAAGAGCGGGTGGGGGATGGGGAAGGCGTTTTTGATAAACGGTTTGTTGCTCACGGGAGGGTAACAGCATTTCTGCTGACTCTCCAGGCCGAGGTGTTCTTTTATTTATTTTTCTTTCTTTTCTTTAATCTTTTCTCTTCTTTTCTTCTCTCCTATTTCTTCTCTTTCCTCCCTCCCTTCTTTCTCTCTTTTTAAGAAAATCTGACCTGGCCGACTTTGTCTGTCTCCCAATATTGAAGACTCTGGACTTCACGTTTTGTTTTTGTTCAAAGCAAGCGTTTCCCCCCCTCTGCACGACTGCCTGTTCCATAATAAACGTGACGAAGGGCTTCAGCACTTTTTTATATAAGTAAACCGACGCCTCTGGAAGGGTCTGTATTTGGGGAGAGCCCGCACCGGTCCCATTCTTTCTCCTGGGGCTCCTCGATTTTAGGCTTCCGAGTGGATTATCCAGGCGGGTGGCTAGAACCCTGCACTTACTCAGAGCATGTATCTTAAATTAAAGAGGGTGCAAGGAGAGTCTCGAAATGCACGCACCCTACCAAGCGCGTCTTTCCTTTCTTTTTCTCCCTCGCTCGCCCTTCCTGCCCCCTGCTCCCGACCCGGGCCCCCTTCCCACTGTGTCCGCTGCTCTGGAACTTGTTTCTGGAGGAGCGCAAGGCGCGGGCTCCCGGGCCTCCCGCAGCCCTTCCCGCAGCCCTTCCCGCAGCCCTTCCCGCAGCCCACGGGAGGATGAAGGCGCGTGCGGGCAGCGGCGGGCCCCCACCTGCTGCGGCGGCCGCGCGGCCTCAAAGCGGGGGTCCGGGGGGCGCGGGCGGGGGCCGCTCCCGGGGCCCAGAGACCCGGCAGCGGGTGAGGCGCGCCGAGCGGAGCAGTGGAGGGTTGTGGCCACCAGCCCGAGACTCGTGCCCACGACGCAGGCAGTTTAGAAGGCGGCAGGACGAGGGGAGGGGGAGGAGGAGACACGAAACACGGGGTGCACCGGAGGCCAAGGTCAAGGTCCGGCCGCCCCAGGCCGCAGTCCTGTGCTCCAGCGCGCCCTGTGCTCCGGACCCCCCCCCACCACCCGAGCTTGGCCGCCCCTGGGCCCGAGCTCCGCGGCCGGCGCTGACCACGCTTGCCCACCGGACCCCGCCGGCCCAGGGAGGCCGAGGTCACGGCCGCGGGCCTGGGCGGCGGCCCCTGCGCCCCGTCGCCCGCCGGCTCGGCCCGGCCGCAGCCCGCTCCGGGAGTCGGAGGCAGCGACAGAGCCTCGCAGTAGTGGCGGCGGGGAGGCCGGGACGGCAGGGTAGGCAGGCCG